TCTCAACCACACAACAACAACCAGTTTGCAAAACTGTTTCGAGACACCTCACACTAATGATCTGCCATCGGTAATGCGGCTGGGAAATGCTTTGCTCTCCGTGATCAGGCGGACGACGATAAAATAGGCCACAATTGACAACAATGACTTGTTCTTGTAATACTGGGTTTGAAATACACCATTGTAAGTACGACGAGGTAAAGTTCTACGTCGAAAAGACTAGTTGATCGAGAGAGTCCATAGTGTAACTCGTTAATCTGACCTACTATCGGGGTTACCTGTGCCGTTTGAAAGACCGAACAACTTTAGCTAGAACACTCCAATTTCATAATCGGAAACCGTTTGTGATAAGTACTATGCAAAGGTGAGGTCATCAATCGGCAATAGACCATTATGGAAACCTCATCTTATTCTGCTCCCGGTATCCTTTGTACGGAGTCTCAATGATAGACTCATTGTCGCTCCGATCGATTACCAAAACGATGGCTGGGTTGACAACGTCATGTCCTCTTGATCCAGATCTCACCTACCGGATCACCTTCGTCCGCTATGCACACCCAATTTCCCATTCCGTATTCTTCAGGAGCTTTCCTGCACCCTCGACCACCCCCACCAACGATCAAATTGCCAGGTCGATAGCTATCATCCAATTTCATTCGACGGATCACACTGCCATGCACGCGTGCGTTCTGTGGTACGTCGCGGACTTCACCACACGGTAAAGGCCAGCGGATTGGTTTCCATGAGCCATCTGGCCGTAGATCCATTCGCCTAAATGGCATGTACTCCATGATCTTCCATGACAAGACAGAGGCTATGCTCATTCCACAATCGAAACTCAGGGAGTCGTGAGTACGCGCAAGATGCGCTTTGCATATCATCTCATGAAAAGGCGAGACGACAGACCCATTGCATTCGGCGTTCTTCTTGTTCCCGATATCGGGGCTGTTCAGCGTAGGAGAATTTAACGGACTCACACCCTCGATGTGGATGTTGGGAAGAGGAATTCGTGGACGGCTCTCACTCTTCTTTCCTGGACTTGTTGTAGTGGAGTTTTGGAGGGCCTCAGAGCACCCCATTGCTATAACCTTTTCGAAGTCAAAATTGAGACCAGCTCTCATGGCCTCCCGCACCATCCACACGAGGGGGACGTGACTTGCGCTCTTTGAATTGGGTTCCATTTCCCACCCACCACCGACATCACCGTGGCCTCCCGCAAACCAGACCTCATCGATGTCTTGCTCTGTTTCATCTTCTGAGTCGGAGTCTTCCATGTCAGACCTAGGAGGCTCTCTTGAACAGATGGAAGCATTATCATTAGTGGTTTTGGTCATATGGGTTGCTCTGGATTTAGATCGTGAATGGGCTCGATACCGAACTGGCTCATCGCTGGGTTCACCCGGGACATAGAGCTTATCCACCTTTCGTCCCCTAAATTGATGTTGATCTGTAGTATCTTGGTCTTGGCTGGCAGAAACGTGTGAATGACGACGATACTTCTCTTGCATGTCATGGAAGAGGCCCTTCGCCTCGTCCATCGCTTTTGGCTTGGCACACCCATCGCTCTGATACATGAGATCTTGCCTAAACTTAGCTCGGCGTTCATCAATACTGACAGCGTGACGGATAGCTTTGGCAGAACTACGTGCTGTGTATGGAAACTTGCTGCGCTCCATCCATGCGGTTTCAAAACGTGGTACGCTATTAACGGTGTCAAAGAGGCCCAGGAACCGGATTCGACGAACTGGCCTCGAAAACGTCTCGCGGAAGCCCTTGAGGAAACTGTACATCTCTCGCTTTTTTTTGAGCTCGTCATCGCCGGTTGCCGAACGACGACACTGCCACTGGGAGAATGCTTTCCACGCAAACTGGACCATCTCTTCATTACCGTGGGAAAGAAGGCCGACGTAGTCCAGCATCTCTGCGAGAAATCGCGCAATATATGCACCGCGAGAGAAGCCGAAGATGTATATATCATCACCAGGACAGTAAAATCGCATCAAGAATCGATATCCCCCTACGACATGCTGGTCAAATGAAGATCCAATCGCACTGTCCTTTGCCTTCATGTACCAAGAGTTGAACCGGGCACGCAATGATGTGCGACTGAGACTGCCCGAAGTCACGTAAGTGCCTATGCCAGGCTGATAATAGTGATCTGGGCGCTAGTGAATAACATAATCTGATCTCCGCGATGAAATATCTTCTTACACTGGTCATTGGCGGTTCGGTCCAACATCCGAAAGATTTTCAGGATGTTACTATCACTGTCGTCTCCACGAAATTTGTTGCCCGTACCATCAAAGCAGAGTATGAGCTTGCGAGTCTTTTTGGAGCGGTTTGATATATCCATTGCTACTGATGGGTTGAGAAGCAGCTGTGCTGCCGGTAACTCCTGGTTTGAATCACGGCTAACTTCGGGTCCGTTTAACTCGTGATACTCTGGTATGAGGTGTGATTTATCCATGCTTCGTAGGAATCTTTGGTGATGATTAGATGCACTACTTGTGTTAAAAGCAAGCACTTGTCGTGTGAAACTCTTGCAATTTGCAGAGTACCTTCGGGTGTCGCGGTAGGGAAGAGGAGGCCCTGTCCAGGAACTTGCCGAACAGCTAGACGGATTTGACTTCCTACGACATCAAACTTCTCCGACTATGGCCTGCTTGACCGTTCTCGGCGGCACATACGATGATCGGGAAGTCGTCATGAAGATGATCATTCGTTCATCTTGACAATCGGCCAATGACACTGGCTCCTTACGTTTGTCTATGGATTTCCCTCTAGTATGTCTCGGTCGTATCCAGAGTAGCGATGCTCATAGCTGCGACCTTTGTCCTACCTTCCGTTGATCAATGCACAAGTACCTCTGTTGGTGGTGCAGGCGTAATTGCCGACGGGCAGTATCACTTGTCCCCGAGTTGTCGAGATTTTCGTGGTCAAGATCAAGGATAGCAGCCTGTCGGCAGAAGATCCAAGACATTTCAGCCCGATCCCGTCTCGAAGGCTAGGATCCCTTGGGAATTCTCCACCAAATTGTCAAATAGCGGTGGAATATGTCGGCGCTCCAGCCGACTAAGACATGCATGAATTATGAGACCGAACTGCGACTAAAAGTCCGGGCCGCTCTTTTTGGTCTCTTTTTCATCTCTCACTTCTGGAGCCGGATAGCGCCACTTCTGCAGATCTCATCGGACACTTCCGTTTATTGGAACGGAGGTAGCGGCGTGAAGTGAGACAACAGATCAGACATACAGCTAAATAACCAATGACCACTGATATGCTGAGAGAGGCAGCCGAATGGCTTCAAGTCGTTTTTGAGGCTGGCTGGGCTGACCATTTCATTTAGCTGCGCCGCCCAGTTAGCCTATCGTAATTCATGAAATCCAGTTTTCTGATCCGAAATACACTTCTTGTCAATGGCGATCGACGTCTCATTCTGATTTTGAAAAGAGTTACACCCAACCGTGATGGTCAATTAGAACGATGATCTTTCACGAGCTGAGCCCTCAAACCGGAACAAAGAGTAGGTATGTGATCTCAACTACAATTTCCTGTCCTGCCATAGTGGACTCGTATGGTGTTGTGGGACGAGTGATCTGCCCGGATAGACCCATTAAACAAACGTCTTATACAGTCGAAAAAGTCACACTATCATCGTAAAGGTGACATACTGAGACCTATATCCTTGCCATGCCGCGGCAAATGCAGTGTGTGACTCTCCAGCCACCGCTTTAACTATATTGCCTTTCGCAGCTCTCAAACAGCTGGCAGCTTGTACTGTTGATGTGTGTAACTCCCCATCGAAGATTGAGGTGACTTGGCTTTTTGGTCGAGGCATCGCACATGTTGACCTCATCAAAATCCACCCTTCCTTCACTTCGTCTGAAAAGTCTGCCGTGAAATCAACATCTACTTCATATTTGAAGCTCGGTGTCTTGCCAATCTTCTTACGCCCTTCGCTAGTTTCGAGCTTGGTGTCTTTTCACAATCGTGCAGTCCGATATGGCCTCACAAGCAGCGGGCGCCAATGGGCGCGATCACTCAAATGGAAACAATGGAATAGTTTACAATAATTCCAATGGATTCTCAACATCCGAGAAGAAAACCTTCGCTAGCTCATCTGCTCCTTTGGCTAATGATGGCAAACCTCCTAAAACAGATCGTGATGGAGTGGCTTCAGCTTTTCAGCGATTTGGACAGCTGGTTCATGCTTCTAAGCGGCCTCTTCCAACTCAGAACGGCGATGGTACTTACAACGAGAAGAAGAAGCACACAGGCTTGCGGAAGGATCTCAAATACATCGGTTGGAAAGGTTAGCCAATGGCCTCTATAGCGTCTGTATGACTCAATACTGACATGACACTCCACATGACAGATGTCAAAACATTGATCGATCTCATCCGGAGTAAGCTCAAAGGCATGGATCCAGTCGATGATAAGACAATGTTGATGGAACGCGTGATTCGACTGGTTGCGGGGCTACCAAGCGAGTCTCGCAACCGAATTCTCCTCACCAACAACTTCATAAACGAGCTCTGGTATAGCCTCGACCATCCCCCTCTAATCTATGTAGGCGAACAATATGAGTACAGAATGGCCGATGGATCATATAACGTCAGCTATATTCGGCATACTTCCCGTTTCGGATGGAGACTGAAGCTTTTTAGAACGTCCTGTATCCACAACTTGGAGCGGCTGGTACAACTTATGCCAGATCAGTCCGTCCTACAATCATGCCCCCCGGAGCCCTGCCTGACCCGTCTCTCATATTTGATTCGGTAATGCGTCGTACCGAATACAAAAAGCACCCGAACAATGTGTCAAGCATTCTTTGGTATTGGGCTACGATCATCATTCACGGTCAGATGTGTCATGCTATCAAGCCGTATCCAAATGTCTAACATCCTTCAGATCTCTTCTGGACTGATTATCCAGACATGAGCAAGTCCAAAACATCTTCCTACCTTGACTTGTCTCCCCTTTACGGTAGCAACCAAGAGATGCAAAACACGGTACGAACGTTTGAAAAGGGCAGACTGAAACCGGACAGTTTCGCAGACAAGCGCCTTTGCGGCATGCCGCCGGGAGTCGGGGTGTTATTGATCATGTTCAATCGATTTCACAACCATGTTGCCGAGAACCTGGCGGCAATCAACGAAGGAGGCAGATTTAGTGAGCCCTCGCCTAAATTGGATGACGAGAAGAGAGCCGCTGCATTGAAGAAGCTTGACAATGATCTTTTCCAGACTGCCCGACTGGTCACGTCTGGTCTCTATATCAACATCACCCTTGTTGATTATGTGCGCAATATTGTGAATGTACGCCATTTTGCCCACATTTCTGAGCAAGCCTTCGGACCCCTATATGTTTTTTTTTTCATTGCTGACACATGATCGTGTAGCTGAATCGCTGCGACACAACTTGGACTCTTGATCCTCGGCAGGATATGGGCCGGGATGCCGGAACCACTAAAGGTGCCGAGAGGGGTATTGGGAATGTGGTCTCTGCGGAGTTTAACCTCTGCTACAGATGGCATTCTTGTATCTCTGCTAAAGATGACTTGTGGGTCCAGCAATTCTATAAAGAATTGTTTGGCAAGCCCGCTACAGAGGTGAACGTCCAAGATCTGGTAATGGGCTTTGGAAAATTCGAGAAGTCTATCCCTGATGATCCGGCTGAAAGGACCTTTGGACATTTCAGGCGAGGATCCGATGGTCGTTTCAGTGATGATGACCTTGTTGAATGCATCAGCTCGGCTGTCGAAGACTGCGCAGGTGCATTTGGAGCACAGAATGTCCCGACTTCCATGCGCCCTGTCGAGATACTTGGCATACTTCAGGGACGTAAATGGAATGTTGCTGGACTGAACGAATTTCGCAAGCATTTTGGACTTAAGCCATATGAACGCTTCGAGGATATCAACTCAGATCCACAAGTTGCTGATCATCTTCGTCATCTTTACGAACATCCTGACTTTGTCGAGCTTTATCCTGGGTTGGTGGCTGAGGAGGCGAAATCTCCTATGGTTCCTGGCGTCGGCATTGCTCCAACGTACACGATCTCGCGCGTGGTTCTTTCCGACGCGGTCTGTCTCGTTCGTGGGGACCGCTATTATACAACTGACTATAATCCTCGGAATTTGACTAATTGGGGATACAATGAGGTTCAGTATGACCTGAGGTCAGTTGTTTCCAGATATTACCATACTTTATTTACTTCAGGCATCAGGCTCATGTGGATGCTTTCCCAACATTCCAAGGGCCTTCGAGCTGCATTTCTCAACTTGCTCACGCGACTGTGCTGAAGAATTGCTGATGGATTTTTAGTGTGAACCACGGATGTGTCTTCTACAAGTTATTCATTCGGGCATTTCCCAACCACTTCAAGCAGAACTCGGTCTATGCTCACTATCCAATGGTGATACCTTCTGAAAACCACCGCATCCTGACAAGCCTTGGTCGCGTTGACAAATTTGATTTTTCACGGCCGACGTTGGTATCTCCTCGAGTGAATATCACCTCATACGGGGCAGCGAAGTACATCCTGGAAAATCAAGACAAGTACAAGGTGACGTGGCATGAAGGGCTGTCCTTCTTGATGGGCAAAGGTGGAGCCCGTTTCATGCTATCTGGCGATACGCCGTTCCATGCTGGCCAACGAAAGTGCATGCACAACTTGTTATACAAAGATGATTGGCATTCACATATCAAGTCATTCTACGCCCAGATTACTGAGCAACTCTTGAAAGAAAAGAGTTATATCATTGGCGGTCATCGACAAGTAGATATCATTCGCGATGTCGGCAATATTGCTCATGTTCACTTCGCATCCCGAGTTTTCAACCTTCCCCTGAAGACAAAAGATAATTTGAAGGGTATCTACTCAGAGCACGAGATGTATATGGTTCTGGCACTTATTTTCGTCACCATCTTCTTTGACATCGACCCGGTGAAGTCCTTCCCGCTCCGACAAGCGACGAAGACGGTATGCGAGCAGCTAGGTAAACTTATCGAGACGAATGTCAAGATAACCACGGGCTATGGTCTGCGAGGTCTTTTCTCGGGATCTGATAAGAAAGACGACCCTCTCGCGATGTATGGCACTCGTATGATCAAAGGCTTGGCAAAATCAGGCCTGAGTACGTATGACATTGCGTGGAGCCAAATTCTACCGACGACTGGTGCTATGGTACCTAATCAAGCTGAAGTTGTAAGTACATATTAACCCTGCCTCGATGAGGAAGATCTAATTCCTTGATAGTTTGCCCAAGCCGTGGATTTCTTCTTATCAGCCCACGGTGAGAAATATTTGCCGGATTTGCACCAAACAGCTTGCCAGGAACCATCACAGGACTCAGATGCACTGCTGCTCGGGTATGCTATGGAAGGCATCCGACTAGCTGGCACCTTTGGCTCCTATCGAGAAGTTGCCACATCTGATACAATCAAGGAGGATGATGGTCGTGAGGTCCCAGTCAAGCCGGGTGATCGCGTCTTTGTTAGCTTCGTAAGTGCATCTTCCCTTTGATTGGATTTCTCTTATAGAGGACTAATCCTGTTATCGTAGGTCTCAGCAGCCAAGGATCCAACTCACTTCCCGGATCCTGAAGTGGTGAATCCGCGACGACCGCTGGACAAGTACATCCATTACGGAGTTGGACCACATGCTTGCCTAGGTCGTGCTGCTAGTCAAGTTGCCCTAACGGAAATGTTTCGATGTCTCTTTAAACGTAAGAACCTTCGGCGCGCTCCTGGCCTTCAAGGGGAGCTCAAGAAGGTCCCG